TATATTCAATATAAGGATGAATGAAAAAATATACGTAGTATATGACTATCCAAATATTATTGAACATTGTATACCACAAATTTAATGAAACCTATAAAAAAGAAGCACAAGATACAAAAAATGGGCAAGATGAAATGATTAATACTACCTCCGTCCCCGAAAGGTTCGTCAAATTAACTTTTCTTAGTCAATGATGGAAAAACTTTGAGCAATAATTTTAGTTATTATATTTGTATATAATTTATAAATTTTATACTTTTATGGAAATATTTTCAATAAGGAATATCTTGATATAATTTTCATATTCTAAATAATTTCGTATTAAAATATATCATTGGTCAAAGTTGAATGTCATTGATCAAGAAAAGTCAATTTGGCAAACCTTTTCGGGACGAAGGGAGTATGAAATAAGATTGATAAATACCTCATAAGTGTGTCAGTCAAGAATAATATTATTTAGATAATCGTCAAATTCATCCTCCATCATATACAGGGGCGTAGCTAGGGAGGGCCCAACTTTGGCCCCGACCCAACCAAAGTTTTAAAATTAACTATATATTTAAAGTAAATAATTTGAGTAATTTTTTTCAAAAATATTCTTTGTGCCGGTCCAGTCCAACCCAGTGTTCTGGCTCCGCCCCTGATTATATAAGAAGATTGTAAAAGATTTATAGAAGCATTATAATGTGTTACATATATTTATATAGTATTTGTATATATTTTAGAGATACTTGGTTTTTAGAAACAATGTTAAAAAAAATTAAATATTAAACTTGTTTTTATTGAAATAATTATCCATTTATGACTAAAATAATGGTAGTTTACAAAAATGTAACTAGTGACTAAAGTAGGAACTAAATTATACAGAGTAGTAACTTATGTTCAATTCCTAAACGAGGAAAGGGTCAATTCAGTACACCAACTTGGAGGGGCGGATCTAGCATTTACGTTCAGGTGGGGCCAAAATTTAATTAAATAACGTATATTTTAAAAAAATGTCAAAATGTAGTACAATATAATAATATCTTAGAAGTCAAAATGTAAATTATAGAAATGTCAAAGAATAAATTGAATATTACAGAACCGACAATACAATTATCTTAAAAGTCATAGATATCGAACCGAAGTTTTATCGGTTACCCAAATGTTTAGTGCCAATTTTTAGGTTAGTTTCTTAGAAACAAGAAAACCCGATTTTTTTACTTTAAAATCTATACTCTATGTAAAGAAAACTTATTTTCACCAACGAAATCCAGTGTATTCAACTAATTAATTTTTCGGTCAATATTCAAAAGCCCAATGAATTAAACTAATTAATTTTTAGGACAATATTCAAAAAGCTCAATCAATTGAACTAATTGGTTTTTCAAACTAATAAAGCCCAATTAGTTGGACTACTTAATATTTGCATCCTAGTATTCAAAAGTTAAAATTCAGACTTGATTTGTGTAAGATAACATGTTCCTAGACTTGGATAGAAAATACAAAAAAAAATGCTGCTCCAGCTAGAAATCGAACACATAACCTCTACACTGCCAATCACACAACTACCATCACACCAACGTAACTTTTGTTTACAATAGGACGTTTCTTCTAATTATACAATTTCTTCCCAGTACATATATAATACGTAGTGTATATATATATACTAGTAATTTCTTTTTTTTTTGAGGTGGGGCCTAGGCCCTCCCTGGCCCTATGCCAGATCCGCCCCTGCCAACTTGTACGAGGTGGAGTAAAAAATACACTATATTGCATTTGATCTTTTTAAGTACACAAATTCGGGATTTTAGTGTTAATTGAATACATTTGTTAGATTAACACGTTAATACAGCTGAGTTGGCTAACAAAATGTCGAGTAAGAAGTGGTAATAGACCAATGTTATGGTACCGACCTTCACAAAGTCGATAAAAAAGGAAAAATTGACCTTCAGAGGTCGACCTGCGGGGGTGTCGGCCAGTAGGGGTGCATCGACTAAGGAGAAGTCGACCTGCAGGGGACTGACGTCGACCAAGGGGAAGTCGATCAAGTGACTGGGGGCTGGCACCGACCTTCAAAAAGTTGACCTATTAGCATTCCGTTAGCCAACTCAGTCGTGTTAACATGTTAATCTAACGAGTGTACTCAGTTAACACTAAAAACTCGAATTTGTGCATTTAAAAAGATCAAATGCAATATAATGTACTCTTTACTCTACCTCATACAAGTTGATGTACTCAATTAACCCTTAACTCATTCCTAAACCAAGTAACTATTAGTGATATTTATGTAAATAAGTTTGATTTTAGTAATATCTTTTTTTGAAAAAACTCCATTTTTATTTTAAAAAAGCAAGTCCCATTAAAAATCAATACGAATGAATGGTGATATGATCATGATAATCTTGTACGAAGAATGTTTTTTTCTATATTCAATATAGGGAGCATCAGGTGTTCTTTTATTCATCTTATTCTTATTGCTTATTATTTATTTTTATTTTAGCCAGATCAGAAAGATGTAGATTAAAAAGGTTCAGATAAGATCATACAAGATCAGAAACATTCATATCAGATCACAAAATTCCAGAACATGATTTGTAATAGGCAAAATAATAATTATGTCCATTATAATTATAATTTTAAATATAATTAATTATAATTACAATTAATTATAATTATAGAGATAATTATAATTATAATAATTATAATTATAATTATAATATAACAATAATAATTATAGCACATGTAATAATATACCTATAGCTATAATTATAGTTATAATTATACCTGTGATTGTTATTATAATTATATTTTTAATTTCATTATTGTTAAAATTTTAGTTATAATTGTAATTAGTGTGGTGTTTATAGTTAGAATTGTAATTATATTTATGGTATACGTAGTAACTAATAATAATAACAATAACAATCACAACAATAATGATAATAAGTTTTTTTAGAATATTACTAAAACGTATTTACACAAATATGACTAATAATTACTACTACCTCTGTCTCATTTGAATTTTTACACTTTCCTTTTTGGGACATCTCGATCACTCCTTTACTTTTCCTTTTTAGGCAACTTCTTTTACATTAAATATCTTAACTAACCTTCATTACCCACCCACTGACCCACTTTTTACATTTGGGTGGATAGCATTAAAGACATTTGTTCTTCTATTAATTGGGCTCCTAAAATATCGTACCAAAAGCAAACGTCAAGTTCTATCTGGGACGGAGGGAGTACAATGTAGTGTCATGGTAACTTAAGTTTAAAAATTGAATATAAATTACTATGATTTCATTACCACTCTAATCACCCCAGTTATATTTTTGTACACAAACTTTATTTTAGTCATAAATATGTAATTATTTCTAATAATAATAATAATAAACACTGAATCAAATCGAAAATATTTAAATCAGACCAAATCAGAAGTATTCAAATCAAATTAGAATACCTGGTGGCCGGCCCCCACCAGTGTACCCAAATCACCACCGACCGACCACCAACCACCACCGCCCAACCCCGGCCAGCCCCTCCTAGCCCCAACAAACCTCTTCTCCGACACACTCCACCCCCTCCGGGCGCTCCAACCATCCAATCCCCGCCGCACGCCAACTCCGACCACTCTAACCAGCCCAAATCCACCCCTCCCAGCCCCACTTTTGACAGCCCAAACCATCCCCGACCACCGGCCAATGAGCCATAGTAGCCCCCCCCCCCCCCCCCCCCCCCCAGATCTGGTTGCTTCCTGGTCGGCGTGTCAAATCTGAAGGACGACAAGGCGGAGAGGCGTCAAATCCGAGCTCGCCGTCGTCACATGGCGAAGCTCTTCGCCGAATTCATGAAAATCATAGCCTTACGCAAAATATTGCGACGGATCAAAGATTGAGGCACCTCACACTCTGTCTCGGTCCTCATACACCTCTGCGCCACCTATACGACGACGGTGACAGAGCGACGAGACGGAATCGCCGTCTCTAATGGTGAACCCTAGCCCCATTTGTAATCGCCTCGTCATTTGCCTTCGTAATAGATGATGTAATCCTTGCTCGCCATCGTCAGATCTCCACCATCGCCTTGCCGCCGCCATCGCAGGTTTTGAGATTCATCGAAGAAGAAGAGAGAATAAAACAGAGACATACATGCGATGTTCGTACAACAGGAAGATGGCGGCGGCGTGGAGAGAACGGCGTGAAGATGGCGGCGGCGACGTGGAGAGAACGGCGTGAAGATGGCAGCGGCGACGTGAAGAAGGTAATATCCTGCGGATGGGTGCGGCCGATGGAAGAAGCAAGGCTGGTGCGATGTATCCAAAGTGACGAGAGAGAAAAAGACTAAAATGAATTAGGGCTGCAGGGTATTAAAGTCAGTCCACACAATTTCAATAACTTTTTTGTCCAAACGAGATTGTGGTCATAATTTTGTCTATAATAACTCTAAAAGTGATATCCATGCCATTATTTCACACATATATATCTAATTAAAGAATAAAAATTTTATGAAAATATTGCATATATAATAGAAAAATTTGAAAGTACAAGCCCCCTAAATCCATCCCTGAATGCAAAGGAAGAACAAGTGGTAGGTTTAGAAAGAGAAATGTTGTGGCATCAGCTTATATTTTGTAGGTTTGAAGAATTAATCTTCCATGTATTATTGAGCCATCCGGCAATGATATAAATACAAAATTATAGATAAGCTAAGGTTTGTTACAGATCCTAATATTTAGGATCTATCTATTCTTATCTACACTGCGTGTTAATCTAAGAGTTAGAGTCCTAAATCAACTCGACTTCCTATCTATACAGTCCCGGATGTACACATAATAAAATAACATGAATATGCTACATTTTTCTACACTCCCCCTCAAGTTGGTAAGTATATATCATACATTCCCAACTTGCTTATAAGAAACTCAAACACTGGTTTAAACGGCCCCTTTGTAAAGATATCAGCTGTCTGCTCTTTAGTAGATATGAATGGTGTGCATATAATTCCAGCTTCAATCTTCTCTTTGATAAAATGCCTGTCCACCTCAATGTGTTTAGTACGATCATGTAGCACAGGATTGTGAGCAATATTAATGGTTGCTTTATTGTCACAATATAATTTCATAGGTAGGTTCATTTCCATATTCAACTCTGTCATCATTCTCTTGATCCAAAGTAGCTCACAGATTCCATTAGCCATAGATCTAAATTCAGATTCTGCACTACTTCTGGCAACAACATTCTGCTTCTTACTTCTCCAAGTCACCAGATTCCCCCATACATAAGTACAATATCCAGATGTAGACCTTCTATCAGTTATTGACCCAGCATAATCTGCATCTGTAAAGGCTTCTACACTTCTATTGTCACTTCTTTTAAAAAATAATCCTTTCCCTGGACAACTTTTCAAATATCTTAGGATCCTGTAGGTAGCATCTAGATGTTCTTGGAATGGATTATGCATGAACTTACTAACCATACTGACTGCAAAGGCAATATCTGGCCTTGTATGTGCCAGATAAATCAACCTTCCCACCAATCTTTGATATTGGTGAATATTAACTGGTACTCCTTCCTTGACATTTCCTAACTTCTGATTAGGGTCAATTGGAGTATCTATTGGTCTGCATGCACTCATACCTGTTTCATGAAGTAGGTCTAGTACATACTTCCTTTGGGATACCACAATTCCCTTCTTTGATCTGGCTATCTCCATGCCAAGAAAATACTTCAATTCTCCCAGGTCTTTGATTTCAAATTCCTGAGCAAGCTTCTTCTTCAGGTCTTCAATCTCTTCACAATAGTTTCCTGTAAGAATTATATCATCCACATAAACAATTAGTACTGCAATTTCTCCCTTAATGGAGAATTTCATGAATAGTGTATGATCTGCTTGGGCTTGTTTGAATCCCTGCTTCTTTATGAACTGAGTAAACCTTTCAAACCAAGCCCTTGGGGACTGTTTAAGCCCATATAAGGCTTTCTCTAGCTTGCACACCTTTGAGCCATATTGTTCCTCAAACCCAGGAGGAGGGCTCATGTATACTTCCTCTTCAAGCTTCCCATTTAGGAAAGCATTCTTCACATCTAACTGTTGAAGAGGCCAGTCTAGGTTAGAAGCTAGAGATAGTAGAATCCTTATAGTATTTAATTTTGCAACTGGTGCAAAAGTTTCTGTATAATCTATGCCATAGGTTTGTGTGTATCCTTTGGCAACCAGTCTGGCCTTATATCTTTCAAGTGTACCATCTGCCTTGAATTTAGGAGTAAACACCCATTTGCATCCAACCCTTGGTTTATTTTTGGGTACCTCTACAGTCTGCCATGTCTGATTCTTTTCAAGGGCATTCATTTCTTCTAAAACAACCTTCTTCCACTCAGGTATAGATAGGGCTTCCTGTATGGTTAAGGGAATAGAGACACTGGAAAGGCTAGAGGTAAAAGCTGCAAATGATGTAGATAACTGAGAATAGGACAGATAGTTTGAGATAGGGTATTTAACACATGACCTTTTTTCTTTTCTGAGAGCAATGGGTAGATTTAGATCACTGAAATTATTACCTTTGTCATTTTCTGGCATTGAGTCGGATTTATTGACAGTGGCAGGATCAGGGATGTCCTCTATTCTGTGATTTGGAACTTTCCTTTCATAAACCTTGCCAAAAAACTTACTTATCTGCTGTTCATCATCTTTCCTTGTTTCAGAAAAAAGTTTTTCATTTTCTTTTGACTCTTGACTATTTTCTAGTGCATCTAACTGTCTATTATACTGTGCATCTAGATTAATGTCAAGAGGTTCTAGTTTTTCAAGGATATGTGATACATTATTACCATCTTCATTAGGAATCTCCCCCTGAAGATGAGTACCAAAAAAAGGTTGATATTCTACAAAAACAGTGTTCATAGTTATAAACATCTTTTTTGTTATAGGGTCAAAACATTTATAGCCTTTCTGAGTTGAAGAGAGTCCTAAGAAAACACATTTTTTTCCCTTAGGGTCAAATTTACTTGCAGTTCTGTCAGGATTGGTAATAAAAACTGTGCACCCAAAAATTTTTATGGGAAGAGAGTTAATTAGTCTAGTTTCAGGAAAACAAGTTTGAAGAGTATCAATAGGAGTTTTGAATCCTAGAGTTTTTGATGGCATCCTATTAATTAGATAGGTAGCATGTAAAACAGCTTCTCCCCATAAATATTTTGGAATTTTGGCAGAAAACATTATTGCACGAGTAACTTCAAGTAAATGTCTATTTTTCCTCTCAGCTATTCCATTCTGAGCAGGAGTATTTACACAGGAACTTTGATGAACAATCCCTTTTTCAGCAAAAAAAAGTATTTAACTTCTTAGAAAAATACTCAAGTCCATTATCACTTCTCACAATTTTGATATTAGTGTTGAATTGAGTTTGGATCATTGAGTAAAATTGTTTGAACACCTCTTCAATCTCAGATTTTTCTTTAAGTAAAAACACCCATGTGACCCTTGTGTGATCATCTATGATAGTTACAAACCACCTTTTTCCTTTCAGAGTTGAAACTCTAGATGCACCCCAGATATCACTGTGTACAATAGTGAAAGGACTAGTTGGTTTGTAACTATGAGGGATGTAAGAACTCCTATGATGTTTGGCAAGTGCACACATATCACAATGAAATGATGAAGGATTTTTATTAAGAAATAACTTAGGAAACAACATTTTCAAGTAGGAAAAACTCGGGTGACCTAATCTATAGTGCATTAGGTACACTTCATTATTACAAGGAAAAACAGTTTGCAAACAAGTTTTTTCTTGACCTTGTTTATTCAATTGTGTTCCTTCATCAAAAGTATAGAGGCCATCTTCCTCTCTAGCACTGCCAATCATCTTCCCTGATGCCAGATCCTGAAAAATGCAATAAGAGGGAAAAAATTTTACACAACACTGAAGATCTTTAGTAATTTTGCTAATAGAGATAAGATTGCAGGAAAGTTTAGGAACATGTAAGACTTTGGAAAGGTTAATGGACGAGGAAATTTTAATATTTCCCATCCCTGCTATGGCTGAGAAAGAGCCATCTGCAACTCTAACTTTTTTATCTCCTGCACAAGGTTGATAAGAAGAAAAAAACTTTGGAATATAGGTCATGTGGTCTGTTGCACCTGAGTCAATGACCCAGGTGTTTTTAGTTTTTTCAGAACAAAAATATGATGTTATTTTACCATTCTGGGCAAAAGAACAGGTAGGGTTTTCAGGATTGGAGATTTTCTGGGTAGGTATGAATCTGAGTAGGTACTCTATCTGTTCCTGAGTGAATGGTAGCTGTTTAGGTTCAACTCCTGCCTCTTGTTGAGTCTCAGTCACAGTAGTTTGTAGGGCCCTTTCTACTTTCTTCTTCCCAGCTCCTGGTGGTTTTCCATGGAGTTTCCAGCATGTATCCCTTGTGTGCCACAGTTTCTTGCAGTGATCACACCAAGGTTTTTTCTTGTTGTCATCACTTCTGGCCACCAAAGCTGAAGATTCCCCAGGTTCCTCATTAGGTGCTGGGGTGTTCTACATGACCTTCTTCCTGCTATCCTCCATCCTGATTTCAGAAAATACCTCCCTGATAGAAGGTAGAGGTTTTTTCCCAAGTATCCTCCCCTTAACTTCATCTAGGTCCCTATTGATCCCTGCTAGAAACATATAGACCCTATCATTCTCTTCTTTTTTCTTATGTCTGGCCAGATCCTTAGCACTCTCCCACTCTTCATCATCATAGCATTGATCTAATTCTTGCCACAGAGATACCATTTCATTGTAGTATGAAATAATATCCCTATTTCCTTGTTTAGATTGCCACAATTTGGTTTTGAGTTCAAAAATTTGAGAAGAGTTCTCAAGGTCTGAATAAGTTTCCTTAATAGAATCCCATACCTCCTTTGCAGTTTTCATAAACATATGAGGTTTGGCAATTAGGGGCTCCATGGAGTTGAGAAGCCAAGCTGTTATGAGTGAATTCTCTGACCTCCATGTACTGTACCCTTCTTCTGCTTGTATTTTTGGTTGGATTTCTCCTGTGATGTAACCCAGCTTTCCCCTCCCATCAATTGCAAGTCTGACAGATTGAGACCACTCCAGATAGTTTGTTCCATTCAATCTATGACTAGTGATTATCATAGATGAATGAATAGGAGACTGGTAACTTGTCATAGAGCTAATTTGGGAGTTAGGGTTGGTAGTGTGTGAGGAATCAGCTTCACTGGTTTCTATCATTGTTTAAACCGAAGCTCTGATACCATGTAGGTTTGAAGAATTAATCTTCCATGTATTATTGAGCCATCCGGCAATGATATAAATACAAAATTATAGATAAGCTAAGGTTTGTTACAGATCCTAATATTTAGGATCTATCTATTCTTATCTACACTGCGTGTTAATCTAAGAGTTAGAGTCCTAAATCAACTCTACTTCCTATCTATACAGTCCCGGATGTACACATAATAAAATAACATGAATATGCTACATTTTTCTACATATTTAAAAGATTCTAGCTAAGCTAGAGTTAACAAATAGCATAAATATTATCAAAAATATGATCAAAATTGGTTTTGCCATAATTGTTGGACAAAAATATGATCAAAATTGGTTTTACCACAAATGTGATCAAATTTAACGGTTAAATTTTAACCCATCCCTTTCCATTTTTTCTTCTGCGCTTGTAGACCAAACCCACGAAGGGGGGTTTCCTTCTGCAATTCGTAATAGTCATAACAACTCCACAGAGCGGTTGTTTCCAGGAGCCAATATATCTCCCCCACTCCTCCGCAGACAAAGCCTCACTATCGCCCTTCGCGGACAGAGACACCGCCATCGCCCTCCGCGGATAGAGCCGCCACCATCGCCCTCCGAGGACAGAGACGCTGCCATAGTCTTCACCGTCATCGCCCCTTCCTCTGCCTACTCACTTGTTCAGAGTTATCGTCTGCCCTACTGTCAAGATCTGTGATGACATCGTACCTAGGGTGTCTAGGCAGTGCGGCGCTCCGACGCCGAGGTGCAACACCGGCGGTGGTCCAAATCCATATGGAAACAGCTAGAGTTGGGGTTGGTTAGGGTATTTGTGATGGTTTGGGATGAGATTTGGGCTAGGGGAAGGTAGGGAGGGACTGGGGACGGGGCTAGAGGCTGGAGAGGGGAGATTTAGGGGATGACTCGGCTGAGGATGGTGGGCTATGAGCTGTCATCGGTGGCGGTGAGCCAGGTGGCCAGATGTTGGCGGCCGGAATGTTACGGTGGCGATAATGGCGGTAGGTGGCGGGAATGTAACAGACATGTATTGGTGTTTCCTTGTCACTATTAGCCGGACATGGTTGGGGTTGGGGAGGGTGAGGTCACTATGTCAGCCGCGGTGTGGTGACACTTTTCAGAGCAGAAATTATGGAGGTTGTAAAGCATTTTGACGGGAGAAAGTCACCGGAAATTTTTCTGGCGACACAGTGACATGTTTATTGACGCTAGTGACACGTTTATCGACGACAATGACATTCGAAAAGTGACATGGAAATGGATAGTGGCATTAAAGAGTGACATAAAAATCTAACAATGACATAAAAATCTGACAATGACATAAAAATTTGAAGGCGATATCATGTTTTTTCCAAATATATGACCTTTCTGTCACATTTTTGTCCTTTGAGAAAATGATCACTTGTTTGAAAATTGATATTAATTTAGTAATATTCCAGTAAAAAAGCTGTTAGATGGATAGTTCCAGAATCCAGACTCTTATTTTACAATTGGGCCTGCTCCAATCTATTACAGTAGTAAATTTAAAGAAATTTTAATACTCACATCTAAGAAATTCATATGGATAAATAGACGCGTCAGAATCCAGATTCTAAATTGTACTTATTTGAGTGGAATCACAATCAATAAAAACCAATTTTCCTCCCTAAATATATATCGATTGATACAGTACTTTTTTTTGAAAGGGGGGAAAAGGAAGGTGATCTATCTATCGATCGATCGATCATTAGTCCCAAACCCTAAAACCCAATTCGGGCGAGGACTGCGAGTCGAGTGCTGTAATGATGACCATATCTATGAAGCATGCACGCTCCTCTTACGCCAACATCACTTTCTTCATCCGTACAACGGCTTCTCACGCCCGCCATTTCTCTTCATCACCCGCCACTCTTTCTGCTACCTCACCCATAACCCAACCCTTTAGCGGCAATTTGAAGGTCAATTTTGCTATTCATCTTACTGTTGTGAAAGAAATGCAGTTTGAGGATGCTCACAAAGACGCAAGCTGTTTGTTACACTTATTCTTTTGATTTGAACATTCAAATCAAGAACTACTTGAATGATGCACACTTTAATTTGCTGCTTCTAATAATTTCATTCGAGACACTGACCAGAACATTTGTCGCTACAGAAAGCACTTGCTGGCATAAGACGAATAGATCTGGAAGGCTTAAGGTGGAGGGTATTTGATGCCAAAGGCCAGGTTGGGATGTGCTGTATCTAGTGATGCTGTGTGTACTTCAATGAAAATGTTGTTTACTGATGTCTGTTCCCGTCCAGGTTCTTGGGAGGCTCGCAGCTCAGATATCAACAGTGGTTCAAGGAAAAGATAAGCCAACTTACTCACCTCAGTGGGACCAAGGGGATATGTGCATTGTGATCAATGCAAAAGATGTTTGTGTGACGGGAAGGAAACTCACTGATAAGTTTTACCGATGGCACACTGGGCAAGTAGCAATCTTTTTTGTCTTTCTTTGTTGTATGTATTACTTCCTCTTTGCTATTGCCTAAAACTGCTCAAGTCAAAGTGTACTTGTGTCTCTTCGAATTTGGATAAAACAGCTTCTTCCATGTAACTTATTTAAAAATATACCAAAGACAAAATCTAAAAATAAAGGTAGTACGAGTAGTATAAATTTTAATTTCCACAAAAAATGTAACTAGTACACTACGCCTTTCATTCTCAACTAATTCGCCAACATAGTGGAAATAAGTTAATATTTGTTGAAAAAATTATTAAATAAATTATGCATCCTGCGAAACAGGCCCTTAATCTTTTCCTGCAAAATTTTATTTTATCTAGTTTTACTGGTTGTCTTATATGGCTTAGTATCCTTCAGTAGTCAGTACTCAGTACATGAATTGTTGCTGGTGTTTGAGTGTGGAACTTTATGTCTGAAGTATCCATGTTGATACCTCAAGTCCTCATCTGTTTGCTTTTGTAGGTATATTGGACACCTGAAGGAGAGGAGTTTGAAGGACCAATTAGCAAAGGACCCCACGGAAGTCATCCGCAAAGCAGTACTTCGTATGCTCCCAAGAAACAAATTACGTGATGTAAGCCTTTCTCATACAGAATAATGTATAATTTGTTTTGGATCCTTAATTGCTAACAAAACAGCGTTGTAAGAAGGGAAAAGCTGCAATGGTATCCCGTCCACCTCTTTTATGTTCTACACAAAAATAACATACCTGCTTATATGCTCTTCAATTTCTCTTTAGGGTCCATATTGAATGGATAGTTTTGGAGGTCTTTAGAGTTTAGAGGATTAAATATACATCTTGCTATTTATTTAAGTTTTGGTAAAATTGAAGGAATAATGTAATAGGTTATCTCACAAACGTTTCAAGCATCCTTTATTTGTTCCGAGAAACGTTCAAGCTATCAAGTGGCATCATCGAAACTGAACTTTTCACTATGTGTGGAGATTTTCTACTCCCAAGGAAAGAAAAATATTTAAGGAAAACAAGGAGGGAGAAAGAAGAAAGAAGAAAATGCCGTAATTTTTAATTTTACCCTGACCATATGAATTAACATATAGCTTATCATGATAAGGTTAAAATAGTATATGAAAAGGAAACTTTATGCATAACTTTCAAACTGTGATATGGAGAGAATGGAGAGAGTAAACCCACATTTGGTTTCTCTTCATTCCCCAACAAGGAAAATATCAATTCTTTCTTATTTTCTTGTCATGGTGTTTAACTTTCTATATTGTCTCCCTATTTCTAGACAGTCGGTGAATGAAACATGATGTGTTATAAAATTTCTTCAAATGAAGACTATTGAGTGTAGTAATGATCATATTTCATTTGATGTGTGCTTACTTGATTATTGTCGTCCGATCACTAGGACCGAGACCGCAAATTGAGAATATTTGCGGGCAGCGAGCATCCCTTTGGTGACCGACCTCTAGAGCGCTATGTGATGCCACCTCGGCAGGTCCGTGAAATGCGGCCCCGTGCCAGGCGGGCCATGATTCGGGCTCAAAAGAAGGCCGAGCAACAGCAACATGGATCTATAGATTCAAAGAAAGGCAAAAAGAGAGAGGTTGTGGAAGCCGAGAGTTATGCATAAGATTGGAGTTAGCCGATCCTACACTGCCTTGGAACATGAAAGTCATTCCTCATTATTATATACTACGTATTTATATTCAAACTTCATCGCTTCTAAATTACAAGTCGAAAAACATGTTTTCATCATAATGCATAAATGATGTTAGTCAATATATTCCTTCGCCCGAGTTCTGATCTGGGCATTTATTTAAAGGTAACGACAAACATAAAAAGAGAAATTGGAAGTCTGTTGCAAGTTGCAACCTATGGGTGAATAGGTGAAAACCCCAAGTATGATTGTGTTACTCCCTCTGGCTCCTATTAAAGTTCTCATTTTGACTTCACACAGATTAAGAAAATAAATTTGACTTTACTGTGGAATGCACTGTTTGGCACTGTTTGACACTGTTTGGACACTGTTTGACACTGTTTGACAATGTTTTGTTTCCTACAATGGAAGTGTGAACTTAAATAAGGGACATTCCTAAAAGGAAAGTGAAAACTTTAATACGAACCGGAGGGAGTATTATGTGCAACCCAAGTACACGGAGTAGGGATGGAGTGGGACGGGTCGGCCCGGCCCGGGACCTGGCCTGGTGGTAACGGGGCCGGGGGCCTGAACCGGCTGTTTATGGGGCGGGCTATGGGCCATGAATTTAGTGGACCGGTCGGTCCGGACCAAATTATTACTCCCTCTGTCCCAAAATGATAGTCCTATATTTCCTTTTTGGGATGTCCCAAAATGATAGTCTTGTATTTCCTTTTTGGAATATCCCAAAATGGTGGTCCTGTTTCCTCTTTCGGAAAGAAAGATGTGGTCCATATCATTTCACTTTATTATATTCAAATCTCAACCACAACTTTTACCTTTTCAACTACATTATTAAAACTTGTGCACAAAAGAAATGAAACTATCAAATTGGGACGGAGGGAGTGTTTTTTAATTTTTTGCAATGGCCTGCTGCTAGGTGGTTTGGGTGTTTTGGAGGGGTTTGGGGTGGGGGAGTGGGGGGGAGAGGAATAAATTTGAAAAAAGCTAATTTAAAAAAAAATGACTGACCATGTCCTGGCTCGGCTTGGTCCCGGTTCAAACTCAGGCCGGTATCGGGCCTTCATCCCAAAACCCCAATCCCGCCCAATCCTGGCTCGGGGCCAGGCCTGACCCGGGCCCGATCCATGCCCAACTAGGAGGGTACCAAGTGGGCATATTCACCCGAAGGGGAACACACATTAACTCGATGGCAAGAGGGATTATAAATTTTGAGAAAAAGGGTCAAATAAGCATGTCTACCATTTCCAATTCGTCACTTAAGTCCATGTACTAAAAAAGTATTTCCTCCGTTCTTATTAAAACTTTCAACTTTCCTTTTTCATCCGTTCCAATTAAAATTTCCATTTTCCCTTTTTATTAAAGAATTTATGCTTCACAACATTTCTTACACATTTCTCTCTCCTCTGCACAACTCTTCACACACAATACTCACTATCTTAAATTGTGTGTCAAACCTATTTGGAAGATAAAATAGGAACGGAGGGAGTATCATATAAGTACGTCTACTTTACAAAAATTGATCAATTTGGACCATTTAATAAGTTTTTGAGCTATAATAACAGATTTTTAATATTTAAAAACTCTAAAATATTATTAAAATTTGAAGTAATATATACAAAAGTTGTGAAAATTTTAAGAATATCAAAGTCAATATTTTTTACCTTTTAAAAATATTTGTATATTCTACTTCTATTTTAAAGGCTTTTGATTTTTCAATTTTTTATTTTTTTATTTTCACTTTTTTCCAGTTTTATGATTTCTTATATATTTTATTTTAACGTTTTAAAATTTTTATGTATTTGTACATTTATACTTTTTTACTCTCTCCGTCCCGTAAAGAAGTTCCTAGTTTGACCTACACACATATTTATGTAAGGTAGAGTTTTGTTTTGACTTTCCAAGTATACCCTTACTTTATGTCAAATCAAACAAAAAGTTGGTAAAAAGTAAGGGTAGTTGTGACTTTTTGGTTAAAAGTGGTTTCCTTTTATATAAATGAGAACTTATTTTTGGGACATTCATAAAAGGAAAGTGGGAACTTCTTTGCGGGACGGATGTAGTATATTATTATATTATTTAGTCAAATTTATATGAATTTTTGTAAGATGTGTCAATATTCCTATTTTTTTTTAAAAAAATAATTGCTATAGCAGATCAAATAGCTCGATTGATTGTATTTTAAAAGTAGACGTACTTACATAATACTTTTTTTAGTACAAGGGCTTAAGTGACAGACTCGAAATAGTAAGACTTATTTGACCATTTTTCCTAAATTGTGTACCATAAATTACTAGTGGTATTATTCGAGAAAAACTAAAAAATTGAATCATAAATTTTGAATATGATGAAGGTTAGATAGAATAAATTTCACTTTTGGTCTTATGAGTATCACAACAATCCTACAATTGGTCTATATTTTATTTTATTTTGACCACTTTTGGTTTATGATTATTGTGTTTTCACCAATATATGGTTCTTCTATTAATGTTTTCGGTGGTTAAAATCGTCGAAAAAAGATCACATATGGTCAAAAAACATTAGTCAGGTACTAAAAGACGACAAAGTGAAAGATGTGAAATAAATACGAAGTTGACATAAAATTCACGGGCCCAAAAGTGGAATTAGTTCATTTTAGATATATCAAAGTAGATATTAAAATTGATTTTACTCTAAGTTTAACAAAGTGTAGGTGTATACACGATTTATATTCTTTAAGTAATATTATCTTCGTCCTTTATAACATTGCCAAAGTTGATTGACATTTAGGATAATGAAATAAAAATTGTATGATTGATATTTGTGCAGATGAATGATAAATTAACACAAATTACAAATTGATTAATTAAGAGCATGTTTGGAACCGCTTTTACAAACACATTTTGCTGTTTCAAGGAGCACTTTGAAGGGGAATGAGTTCTCTACGTGTTTGGATGTGATTAGAAAAGTTCTATTAAAACGAGTGTAAAATCAGTTTGGTAGAAGAAGCCGGATAGTACAGACCACCGACTTCTAAAAGTCAACTTCCGATTCTAAGAAATTGTAATCCTAAAATAACTCGTCAACTCTCGCATCACTTACACAACACAAATCATCGATCCAACCTAGGGCATTCATTCATCTCTCCCTCAAGAGATTCTCTTCTCCAACCATCATATCTGGGCGACACAACCCTTTAGGCCGGCGCTTGGCTTCTCCAGCGAGCGCTTCTTCAACCATCATCTCTGGGTGTCACGCCCCGGACCGCATCCGGGCCACGTAGACAACCGCCGTACAACCCGATAAGAACAACAACAATTCATCCCTATTGAATTGTACAAGGCGCCCGATTGATTCTATTGCCAAACCGATTAGTAAACACATACAATCAACATCAATATCATAATCAACAAATGCGGAAATAATAATATGTTTAATACTTAGCCACACGTGGCAAACACGGGCACGCATGCCCCTAACTGTTTTAAAGAAAACATTATTCGAAAATCCATGAGCAGTTTATAAATTTGAAATAAGAATGGAAGCACGAACCACGTCTTCCTTCTTGATCAATCACCCTAGGCAAATGTGCAGGTAGTAGGACTCTAGCCTCAACCTGAAAAATGTGAGGGCCCCCCGGAGGGGTCAGTACTCCATAGAAGTACTAGTGACAAGCAGGCTATATAAAGAATAACTAATGTTTCAGACACGAGACCCAAAAATAGGGTGATACATACATATATATATATGTGTGTGTGTGTGTGTGTGTGTGACTCATCCATCCGATGATACATACTATATATATATATATATATATATATATATATATATATATATATATATATTTGTAAAATACTCGACCCGTAGGTCATTTCATTCAAAGAGTCTTTTAGAGATAAAGTTCTTACCTGACCTTTCTCACTCCTTTCCCGAATGCGTAGCTCACAAGCTACATTCTACATTCATAATATCCTACCGAGTTTTGGGAGCATTTAGCATCCCGGGGATACTCAACCCCAACCGAGTTTCAGGATCATTTACCGTCCCGGGGATACTCAACCCCAACAGAGTTTCAGGATCATTTGCAGTCCCGGGGATACTCAACTCCAACCGAGTTTTAGGATCATTTATAGTCCCGGGGATGCTCAACCCCAACCGAGTTTCAGGATCATTTATAGTCCCGGGGATGCTCAACCCCAACCGAGTTTCAGGATCATTTATAGTCCCGGGGATGCTCAACCCCAACCGAGTTTCAAGATCATTTATAGTCCCGGGGATGCTCAACCCCAACCGAGTTTCAGGGTCATTTAATGTCCCAGGGATACTCAACCCCAAACTTAATCCTTACCAAACCCTAACTTGGATATGGCTAACCTTTCGTTCCTTTAACTATGGACAATACCTAGCCCTATAGACATATAACCATCCTTAGGAACCAACGTGGGCGGGTCCCACCTGAACGGCCCACATTAACCCGCTCAAAACTACCCGTTTTGAGCATAACCCAATACTCGATCGAGTATCTACCCATACTCGGTCGAGTATAGGAGACAGTAGCCCACAAAGCCAATTTTCAATGTATACTCGATCGAGTATCTACCCATACTCGATCGGGTATAGGAGGCAGTAGCCCCCTGGGCAATTTTTCAACAAATACCCGGTCGGGTATGTGTCAATACCCGGTCGGGTATGGCAGTTGACTTGGCGGTCAACGCCCGTTTGACCACCCAAACAGAGTCCGATTAACGTGAAATTTTATACACATATACTTCTTGACATCCTTGATCCAAAAATACCATTTTGGATCCCTGGAACATCACGCATAATAAGTTATCACATTTTTTATCACCAAACCTACATAACATGCTTTTCAACTATGTTTTATGTATAATCATGGCATAAGCAAACACTTGGTTATCTTTAATCATTCCACAAAACATATCCTTGATTACTTTAGGTAATCTCATGCCTCACGCAAAAGTTATAAAGCATAAAGCCGTCTTCTCACCTTAATGAAGCTTATGAAGTTCTAGCCTTCCCGATTTAGCTCCGGCGAAACTACGTCGAATTTCAACGAACTCCGGCGACAACTCCGGCGACCCTTTCAACTCCGTGAAAGTTCCTTGAATACCTTAGACAAGTTACTAACAAGTTTTTATCATCATAAAACCCATAGTAATACAAATAACCTCAAAAAGGTTATTTTCCGGCGAACCGGTCACTTTGGCTTCTAAGTCCGTTCTTGGACTTAGAACTACCTTCCAACCCCTCATTCTACTTCTCTAAACATGTAGAAAAATTCTAGGGTTCCTCCATATAACATATAAGTCATATGGTAATTAAAGAGTAGAGG